ATGTGCATTTTGGTGTTATTGTTATTGTGCTGCCTTTTTCTTTCTTCTGCTTCTCCCTTTTCTTTTGTGAATGGGTCTCTTTAATATGGTTTGTTGAGAGAGAGAAAGAAAGCGTAGATGTAGTTAAGTAGGGTAACGATAGTTCGATGGATTGGCTGAGCGAGCGGGGTGATAGAATGGGAGAGGAGAACGAGGAATAGGAAATGGTGGGCAAGGACAGCAGATATAATCAGTCAGCAATAACACTAGAAGATCCAGCAAGCGAGACGTATTCTACAAGCGATAACACAAGCCACCTCGTATCCTTCCCTCCTTCACCGCATCATGAATGTATGCAAACACGAGACGAGCAGACAAAGTTCGTGTTTTGGAAGGCATTTGGACACCAGGTCTTAGGCCTAGGCGTGAGAGAAAGAGAGGGAGGGCGAAAGCGGAAAGTGGGTCGCCCCCGCCGAACACTGCTAATGAGAAAGGGGGGGACCGACCATGGGGAGGCAGAACGCCACCGCTTGACAAGCTAACATTCGTCATGACCGTTGGCTGGGATAAGTCAAGAGTAGGCGAGAATTCGAGCGTGGCCGGGGATAGGAGCAAGATTGGTTTCTACTTTTAAACAAGGTTTGGTGACTAAAGGACTGGCCCATCGCCTAATCTGGTTAATGGGCCCCATCACATGAATGCTTTCACGGCTATCACACTTCACTAGCACAGAGGGTCATGGTATAAATAAAAACACGAGCCAAACTTGAAGCCAGGCCGATGTGAAGAGGGTTCGATACTGGATACGTGAAAGGCACGATTGCTACAGTACTTACTGGCATAGACCCGTAGTTGTTCTCCGAGCTACCTTTGTAAACAAACGATGTCAAGTCCTCGCCAATTCGGCCCGAGGGAGGCCTCAGTAACGAATTTGGGAATCCCAATCTGATGCATGTATTTTTGATAAGACCTTAAGCCGGGGTAACAAAGCTTGCTATCCCATTGCCGCTTTAGTCTAGCCGTGCTTCAATGGGAGAGAGCTGGCCATCTATTAGACGAACAGCCGCAATCACCAGTGTGGGCGCACCCTCACCTCCCCATGGAAACAGTCCCGCACAGAACCTGCCAGAGCCTCTCCGTTCCAATGGCGATCCCCTCTCTAACAAACCGAATCTACGTTGCCTCTCCAGGAACTCGCAATCCGCCTACAACCTCATCTTCCCCCTCTTACTATCCAACACCACACATAGAAATCACCTCAGCATACCCGTCAAAAACGAGATCAATCCAGGACACATACATCACATCGACGAGAAGCTACTAGTAGATCACTGACCCCGTGCCGCCGAGGTCGTGATGGAACGCGTCGAAGGGGTAGAGGAGGTCGACGCACTGGTGAAATAGAAGTTGGAGGGGCCTTCAGAAGAGATTGGCAGTGCATCCATCAAGTCAAAAAACCAAATCTTCACCCCCATTTGATTTGCCTACCTAGTCCCAGAGTTTGATTTCATTTGATTGACTCATTTTGTCAAATAGAGTCAAATGTTAGTAAGCAATGTTTTGTCAAGAGGACTGCCTTTTCGTAAATTCATCTCACAATAAGAGTCTGCCAAGACCTTTTCCCCCATCGACAACTTGAACTCGAAAATAATTTAAACATCCGCCAAGACTTCTATTTGAACTACTACTAGTAGTAATCTGTTCAAATTTCAAAGTCTTGATTTGATTTGACGAAAGCATGGATTTAGTCTATTTGCCAAGCATTTGATTGGGTTTATTTGACTTGGATTGATTCAAGTGGACACAGTGGAGATTCGTGTATTGGGTTCGGTAGGCTTGCGTTTTGGAGCGCATCTCGCCAGGAACGACTGTGGAGGAGGCGAGCGATTTGCGAGCGATATGGGCGGGGAGTCCGAATTCGGCGTCGATCGCGGATTGGAGGAGAGATGCGTGGAGGTCCGGAAGTGGGGTCGTGAGGTGAGGTTGTTTGCTTGGAGGATTGCATCGGCTGTGCTGATGGGACTTAGGCTTCTTCGGCGAGAGATTGGAGTTCAGAGTAGATTGCACTTGGAGGTGAGGTGGGACCAGAGCGTGCCCATGTTGTTCAAGTCATGTTGTGGTACATTGGATGTTTTGTAAAATGGTAGGGTAGATCAAAGGGGGTAATGGGCTGTCTTCTGCTCCTCTGCCGGTGCTGTTCTGATCTGATCCAAGAGCAACCTCCAGTCTCCCCACGGCCATCTCATCCAAGGTTTTATCGTCGACAACTATTGAATCATGCCCTTTTCGAGGTTCGGCTATATTTATTAGCCTATTTTCCAAAAACGTGATCGTCGGGACCTCATCAGAAGATTGGCATGAAAAAAAGGGGGCAAGTTCGGGGTACCTGAGGAGAGTGTGTTGACTGTGTCCACCACGAGTCGCCACTGGGCAGGGCGATATTTATCACCTGAAATCCACACTGGCACCGGCGAAACAAAGAGAATCAATTTTGTGCTGATCCGGGAGATTTGTCTCTGACGGCATCGATACTCGAGCGGCCTTACCGTCTAGCCATAGGTGGGTTTGATCTTCACAGTGTGCTGGAAACGATGTTCGGCCTTCCTGTATCAACAAATAACAATGTCTTTGTCTGGCCCTTCAGGCACTTTGTAACATACGAGTCACAGATCAGGCAGCGCCTCGACACGGAGAACGCTCCGATTGGAGAGATGAAGCATTTTAGAAAAAGGAATAGAGCCTCTGTTGCGTTTGAAGCACATGGGCAGGCCGTGAACACAATCTATGGAGCCGATGACGAAGACGGCGCCGAGGGGAATCAAGATGACAAAAAGTACGAGGCTGCCATTAGACTTTCCGGCCAGCTCAAGTGCCGGGTCCAGTTCATGGACGAGGACATGAAGGAAATATTCTTCATTAAAAAGAAAATCGCGGATAGCAGGTTACGCAGCCGGGAGTGTGTCCATTAAATCAAATTAGCCAAACAAATCAAATCAAATGCTTAGCAAATCAACATCAAATCAGTGCTTTCATCAAAGCAAATCAGCCTCCGTGGATCTTGACAACTTAGTCAAACAGAAGTCTTAACAGGAAAAGTCTCTTTGGAAGATTTAAGGATATTTTCGATGGAAAATAAAAGTCTTGGCGGACACTGAATCTGGACGAGAATTTTAGGTTGTCAGACGCTACTATTCCCATGCGTCACCACTACAGGTGGGCTGCTTTTTATTAAATCATTTTCACTGCAACTAATTTCCCTATGATTTGTACTAGGTTCTGTGCGTCCTGCGCCTCTTGGAGAGAGAACAGAGCTGTCAAACAAAATCTAGTAAACGGTCCTCTGAGGGCCGCGGTCCTTTTGGTCCAACAAGAGCCATTTTTCTATCTATCTGACACAAGTAAATCCCTAGAAATACTACACTCCGAAGATTCAAGAATTCAAAATATTTCAATAACTTCTACCCTATTTAGCTTACTCAATAATTCAGATACTGCTTACTAGGATTTGACTCAATTTGGCAAATCCGTCAAATAAAGCAAATCAGGGCCCTGATATCTTTCGACTATTTGTGGCTGTTTTACAAGCCTGGCGTTCTTATTTTTCTGGTGTAAACCAGCAGCGTGCGTAACGGGTACTTCATGTGACTGGGGGACGTGCAATACTCGACATTGGTGATCAACCTTCGACGAGCAACCGGTCTACTGTACGGCCAGTCCACAGCTGGGAACAGCACGATGATCAATCGTTCTCGTTTGCACGTTCCAGGAACACCCCATTTTTCATCGACGGCGAGGACTTCGGACCAGTCCCAAGGAGATTTGTGATACAAGAGTATGAGGGGACACAGGCCATTGATAGCTTGCCAGCCTTTCCGGCCAAATCTGCTAAAAATGCGAGTGACATCGAGAGAACTTTGATTTGAAGAGGGAAGCGGGTTTTCAAGCTTACAGGTGTCAACCATAAGAAATACTGGGGTCTCGGCGCTCGAGAGCCAAGTGTGGCAGGAACAGGTGAGTGCAGCAGACTGTCAACAGCATAAGTTCTAGTATTTGACCGACCAGATCTCTTGCAGGTGAACAGCGACGTCGTCCTCGACTTCGCTAAAGCAATCAAGACGTTCCGCAGAGGCTATCCCGGCAGGGATGTAGGCCTGGGCGGCGGTGTTGTTAACCAGGCCACCAGGGCGGACAGGAGGGAGATTAATGAAATCAAACCATGCGACACTAAGGGCTGCACTCTATGCAAACAATCCGACATCTTGCACGATTCCTATTTTGACCTTGAGAAACGGAGCGATTTCCTTGAAAACACAACGTTACTTCGGTACCGGGCCTATGGCAAGGATGATCTCGAGAGCGATCAAATATAGTACTCTTACCATCTCGAGTCTATGGATATTCCCTTCTCGGTCGCTGGTGGTATGGGCCCCTCAACATTGACTTGTTGAAGACATCAAGGCCGGTACCCATAATGGGTTCGACGACCTTGTCCTTCCGGGCGACCATAAACAGATAGTAGTAATGCAGCCCTTGGTTAAGTACCATACACGAGGTTCCAGGCCCACTTCCGGCACGGGTAAGACCGGTACGGACTTTAGGGTAGCGGTCTTATAGTACTAATCCTGCTTCACGGAGTTCCTGGGCAGTGTATCCAAATTAGGTAACAAATCAAATCAAATGCTTGCAAATCAAATCAAATCCGTGATCTCATTTAAGCAAATCAAGCTTTGAGAGTGGACAAATTACTTACTACTAGTAGTAGTTAAATTGAAGTCTTAGCAGAAGAGTCTTTTATTTTGAAGATTCCAGGATTTTTGACAAAATAATAATTGTCTTGGCGGACAGTCGATTTAGGATAAAAATCCTTAAGTACCAATAGTTACTAGTAGCAGCACCTTGACTCGATTTGACAAATTGGTCAAACAAAGCAAATCAAGGATTCTGATTACACAATCGAAGTAAATCGGGCTCTCGCTTTGCTTTGTTTGATTTGATGGATGCACTGTCAGAATCCGGGTGTTAGTAAGACTTCTACCGCAGAGTGCGTGGCAGCACAAACGAAAAGACCGTTGTTCCCGATTACATGCGGTGATACTTATCGGTACCACAGCCTCCGAAGTAGATGTCCGCTTAGAGTCATACTTCGACCTGGCTCACAAATGGGGCTGTGTGCTGCTGCTAGACGAAGCAGACGTTTACCTTGCAAAAAGAGAGGCGACCTGCAGAGGAACAGCCTCCTCTCAGGTATTATTATCTCTTTTTTGGAAAGTTTCCGTCCTGACTAACCGCTACATAAGTACTTGTAGTCATCCTGCGAGTCTTAGAATACTACTTGGGCATCTTCATCCTAACCACCAACCGCGTTGGCGAATTGGATGAAGCCTTCAAGTCCCGCATTTTTATAAGCCTATCCACCACTCTGTCGTAAAGTGCACCCTTTTTTCGATTGGTCAGTGCCAGTCACTAGATTAGCCGGATTAGGTTAGCTCCCGTAACCTTAACCTTAAATCTCTTACCCCTACAGCAGCAGTACGATAGGAATGTACCTATTGATAGATACAAAATGACTCAAAAGCACCACCAAGAGGAGATCTCAGGGCCAATTGATGCTATTGAAGCTGCTCCATTAGCTAAGGACTGCCCTCGACCCAAAAGAGCTCGAATTCAGAGCCGAAAAGCGCGAGAAAATCAGACGCAAAGTCAGCTATCTCAAGTACTTTCCCTGCGGCCTATCACATCTACAAGCGAGCAAAAACCGATATCTAATAGAGAAGATTCCTCATCTGCTGGAAATAACGCATCTCAATCAAAACAGCGACATCAATTACTCCGCCAAAACAGCTCTCAACGGTCTATTATCAATACACAGCATAAGAAAGAGAAGGAAGAATGGCAGATACAAGTTGAATCTACTCAAAACAAGTCAGAAAAGCTGAAAATTCTTGCTGAACAAATTGGCCCTAGTCGACCTTACCCAGAAAAGCTGAACGTTCCGATCCCATCTGCGTCAGGGCAGCTAAAACTTCGTGCTCACGAACTTAAGCCAATTGATCTATTTTATCGGTTTATTCCAAAGGAGCTGTTTATGGATATTGCAGAGCATACGAACGAATACGCATTTGAAGAAAGATCTCAAGAATTCGATCAAATCCAGCGAGTATGGAGAGATGTAACTGCTGCAGATATCGGAGGCTATATTGGTGCTATACTCCTTATTGGCGCACAACCAGGTGGAAGAGATCTAGCCTATTACTGGAATCAGAAAGAAAACTATCCTCATTGGCCAGTCGCTGAATATATCTCTCTATTGAGATTTCAGCAGATTTCAAGATATCTCAAGATTAATAGGCCAGGGCCTCTCCCAGATAACCAATGGTACAAAAAAGTTGAGCCTCTTGCTACTCATTTTCGCAAAGCAACAACTCCGAATATGTACGAATTGCCACAGAATCTCTCAATTGACGAGCAATTAGTCAAATTCAAAGGACGTTCGAAGCACACTATTCAGATGAATTCAAAGGCCGCTGGCAAAGGATACAAGATATATAGCCTCTGTTGTTCTAACGGCTATATGGTTGATTTCAGGTTCAGCAGTGCTACAGAGAAGGTAGCTGAATTAGGAGGATATCCTGAGTTCTCTCAAAGCGAGGCTATTGTGCTGGATCTTGCAGAGTCGCTTTTGGCCTGATTTCCGCGCTCTAGGCCATTTTACGTTCTACATCTGGATAACTTCTTTACTACCCGCAAGCTCTATCAACGACTCTATGAACTCGGAATTGGAGCGAATGGCACTGCTAAAGCAGGGTCTGGTATACCCAAAGAGCTAGCATATCTTCGTGATGCAATGACGAAGCAGAATGACTATGGAGAGTGGTTTAATTACGTTGTTGGCAGCGTCAATTGTATCGCATTTTGCGATTCAGCTTCTAAGGCAATGATGACCACTATTCACGATCCTACTATGGAGGAATACACCTATTTCAAGAGAATCAAACGCCCTAAGGCCTCTTTGAAGTATGCCGTGGATGCAGAAACTGCAAATGCTGCAAATTCTGCAAATGCTATGAAATTTGTGTGTCCTGCGCCTTCTACGAATTCTACGCCTCCTGCGAATTCTACGCTCTCTGCGAATTCTGCGCCTCCTACGAATTCTACGCTCTCTGCGCCTCCTGCGCTCCTTGCGAATTCTACGCTCCCTGCGCCTCCTGCGCTCCCTGCGAATTCTGAAAATAAGCCACAATATCTACGAAAGCTATATGCCCTTGATCGATATAATCAAGAGATGGGTGGCTCTGATAACCACGCAAAACTGAATTCGTACTATTCAGTAAGCCGACACTATCATCAACGCAACGGGCTACCCTTATTCTTTTTGCTTATCGACGCAGCTGTTACCAACGCATATAATCTCTATAAGCTAGGCGTAAAAAGCAAAAGGCTCTCACACGCTCAATTTCAAGAAGAAATTGCAAAAAGTCTACTTCGAGGACCTGGAGCTATTCTGCGGCAACAGCCACCACGCCCTCCCCAAGCTAGCTGCAATCTCCGTACTAAATCAGTACCAAAAGATAGCTACAAAGGGCATTCGTGGGTCAAAGGAGATCGCTGGCGCCGCTGTCAATCGTGTAATCCTATTCGCAAACGAGGCAGGCCGCGGAAAGCACTCCAGGAACTGTCTACCAACGCCTCTAATAACGCCAAAAGAAGCCAAAAGGGTATCCATAAGAGCCTATGGTCTTGCAGCAAGTGTAACATCTCAATCTGCCACAATTCGCACTGCTGGGCGCGTCATTTACCCTCTCTGTAGCAGAGATAGCAAATTCTATTTATTTTGGTGTTGCTACTTCCTAATTAGGCTTAGTGCAAATTATAATAAAGTTCTCTTGGCACCCGCTCCGTTGACCAATCAAAAAAATGTTGTTACCCCAAGCTCGACCACAAATCCACACTCAAACTCTAGGGGATGAATCTCAAGCGCATCCAGCGCCGAGGTCTAGAGATGGGACGTCGACGAGGATCGGATCCTGAGATTCGCGGAGACCCACTGGGCTGCAAGCAGGAAGAAACTTTCCCGACGGTGGAACAGAGGGCAGATCAAGAACGCCTTCCAGACCGTTATTGCGCTAGCGACTTGGGATTTCAATGATGAGCACGAATGTACTAAACTCCAGCGACCGTTGCTTTCGGACAAGCATTTCGAGGTTGTCTCGCAGACGAGCGCGCACTTTGACGATTATATTAGTAATGTTCACGGTATCGAGGAGGATGATGCTTTCGCGGTCATGGCTGAGCGAGAAAACCTGCGCAATGATAGTGTGCTACAATTAAAACCGAAAAGGCGATCAGACCGCTCGATTCACAAATCGAGCTCAAGGCGTGCTATCCGTGGTGGCTCCGGGCGTAACAGCTCAGATAGCGAGAAAACAGAGGCATCTGATGATGATGATAATGATGATAAAGTGACTATTTCGGAGGTGGAGTTGGAGCTCAAGCCGAGGAAGATGAAGGGCCGAATGAAGTCGTCACCAGCCAAAGGTAAAACAGGGCACGGTAGGGTTCAGAGACAGGAAAAGACACGGAGGAAGAACCGATCAATAGCTGAAGAGTCTTCGGGCAAGTCGGACGAGGACTGGTCTTCACATTGATGCTCATTTTTTTAGCATACCAATCTCGGGCCCTTCTGGCGCTGTAGCTTGAGCTCCGGTGAGTTTGGGACAAGCGAGGAGCCAGTTCTAGGTGTACTTAGACTCAGTCCGGTGGCTGGAGTTCATTTTGGGCCAATCAGGATGCTATTTTATTGCGAGTGTCTCTTTGCGTTGTGGGGCATTGGCGCCCAGAGCGTCCGAACTTTTACATCTTAGATTTCTAGATAGCTACACCTACGAATAGAGAGTTTGATCCACTCTGCTCCAGCGTAGGCTGTTGTCTGAACCGACCCTGAATACTTCGAGCTTAAATTATTATATTTCCAACCGCATCTGGAAGGGGTTTAGAGTGGTGGGGGAAGGTAAAGTTAAGTCTTTAGAATTATAGTCGCCTAGGTTTGGGAAATTATAAAACTCTACCGGCTTGTGCGGGCTACATAGTTGCTTCTGTGCCGTCTAGGCCCAGATCTAGCTCCTCCAATCGATCCCGACGGTCGAGGGAACAGTGACGATAGAAGCTGAAGCAGAGTCGCGTGGCGCTCATCTGCGAATCACCCAGTGTGGGTGATGGGTGAGGTGGTAGTAAAAACCGCGTCCAGCGTGTGGGCGTCAGGTGACGGCGGAGTACTAAGTAGTGTACTTCTCTTTATGTCGCCAAGACTTCGTAGGAAACTTCTCTAGCACACGGCCGACAGCGGACGAAGAGATGTAGTAACCTTGGTGTACTATCATAGGATGTTGAAGGCGTGCATATTATCACATAAGAGGATGGGCTACCTTTCTCGCCCTCCCCGACTTCCCATCTGTGTCTTCTCCCATCCTCTTATCCCGTCAACTCCACCCATCGCGGACAGCACACAATGCACCTCGTCCTCACAGGCGCAACCGGCCTCGTAGGCTCCGCCGTGCTCAACCACATCATCACCCACGGCACTTGGCACACTGTTATTGCGAAACCCGTCCATCCCTTTGCTCAACACCCAGCAACCTCCACCCAGCCTCAAAATCGACGTGATCCCCCACAGCGACTTCCTCACCTACCCAACCTCCCTCCTCTCCTCCCTCTCCGACGCAGAAGGCCTCATCTGGGCCCTCGGCATCTCGCAAAACCAGGTCTCCGCCGACGAATACATCACCATCACGCGCGACTACACCCTCGCAGCCGCCAAGGCGTTCGCGTCCAACCCGGCCCGGGTTAATAGGCCAGGGCCTCTCCCAGAT